GCACCCCAGCTGCTCTACCCCAGGGTCCACAACAAAAGCCTGGTCTGCTGGGGGGGGCACACTAGCTGCGCCCCCCCACCCCAGCAGACCAGGGACGCGGGGAGCAAAGCCGCAGCGGCGGCGGGATCCCGCGCCTCTGAGGCTTTGCCAGAGCAAAGCCTCAGAGGTGCGGCACCCCGCTGGCAGCCCAGCTGTTCTGTCCCAGGCTTGAGATTCAGCTGCTGCTGAAACTGATCAGTGGCTGATTCCAGGAAGCTGGGGGCAGAGCAATTCTGCCTCCAGCTTCCTGTAGTCAGCCCCTGGTCAGTTTCAGCAGCAGCGGCTGAATCTGGAGCCAGTTCCGACTTACATACAAATTCAACTTAAGAACAAACCTATAGTCCCTATCTTGTACGTATCCCGGGGACTGCCTGTATTCTGATGTCTTTAGGCTACCAAGTAAATACAAATGTAATATGATTTTTGTTTTGTTATTCTAATGTACTTAAGTAGAAATTGTATTCTAAGAAGCCCCAGTTTTGAACAATGAATTCCAAGGGAAAAAATTACTGCCTTTTACATTTGGAAAGACAGATAAGATCAGCTTGAAGAAAAATGTGTGACTTGACATGGTGCTATATTGTTAAGAGCTTTATAGCAGTCTTGTAAGGCAAGAGTGTTTCAGAGAAATGGTGTTAAAATTGTTTGACATATCTATGGATTTATCCAGTTTTACTGAACTTACTGTCATTTCATTAATTTTAGTTTCTGAAACTAAATGGAAATAGTGCCAGCCAGCTAATCAGATTTGTTTGTGTGTGTTTGTTTAAAAACCAAACTTCACCTGGTTACAAGTAGAACATATTTTGAAAAAACCCAAAACTGTTCTTTAAACTCTTTTCTGGAGCACACAAATCATTTATCTAACCCAGTCAGGATTCAGCTATTCAGTCATGGCACAGTGAACAGTTGTCACTATCTCAGTCCATCAACTGTTAGACAAAAGACTTTAGTCTTTCAGTACCATGGAAATAAAGTAATTGGAACAGAACATTATCACAAGAAGATTTCTCGCAGATAACTGTTGAAGCAAAGCAGAAGGTAGAAGTATGTTGTGAATCCTCAACAACAGTTTGTATGTTTAAACGAGCAGCCTGTGGTATAACTAAGTTTATATTTTTATTTCAAATGTTTGTTTTGCCCTTTTATTTACCGTTTTAGAGGAAGGCAATTGAAATCATGGGGGCTATTTGTATAAACTATAATTATTAATACTTTCAAAGCAGTGCTGGGGATTTAGCTATATCAAAATTTCAACCTGTGGTTTTAATATTTCACTTGAATTAAAAACTTTCATTTGTTAATTGCAATAAAACACGGTACTACACCTTTTTTTGATAATACCGTCCTTACTAGTGTGCCATTGATGTAAAACTTATCTCTGTATCCAGCTATGTCTATATCTAAGGATGTTAAAATGCGGGGTGGGGAATGTTGTTGTTGTTGTTGTTTTTGATAAATGTGTAACCGCTGAATTTTTCAGTGCTTACATGTTTACACCCTCAGGCAAAGCAACACATTTTACTGACTTTCAGCATCAAATTTCTGTATCAAAGTATCCCAGGTTCTTATGGCTCTGCGCTGAGCTCCTCTAATAGCCCTGGTCTTGAGCTGTCCAAACTCAGCTTCCAGGCACCATGGTCCAGCCCTGAGTGAAGTTTTCACCCCTCCCTTTGCAAATATTATGAAGGGTACAGCACGCAGCCATAACCGTAGGGATGTTATCGTCCAGGTCCAGATTCCAATATAAATAACACGAGTGGGCTTTCAAATGGCCAAAAGCACACTCCACGCTTCCATTTTGCGCCTGCTCAGCCTATTATGGAACCACTCCTTGCTGTCATCAAGTTGTCAAGGCTCCCTGTGTAAGGCTTTATGAGCCACCCCATTAAGGAGTGGGCAGGATTTCCAAGGGTCACTGTGGGTATTTCCACTTCCTTCACAGTGATCTTCTGATCAGTGAAGAAGGTTCCTGCTTGCAGCTTCTGAACAGGCCAGTGCTCTGAAAGATGCAAACGTCATGCACCTTTCCGGACCAGCCAGCGTTCATGTCTGTGAAATGCCCGTGGTGATCCACAAACGTCTGCAGAACTATGGAGAAATACACCTTGCAGTTAATGTATTTGGCGGCTAGGTGGTCTGATGCCACAACTGGAATGTGTCTGCCATCTATCACACCACTGCTGATTGGGAAGCCCATCTGAGCAAAGCCACCCACAATGTCACACACGTTGCCCAGGGTCACAGTGTTTTGGAGCAGGATGCAATTGATGGCCCTGCACAGCTCCATCAGCATGGATCCAACTATCAATTTTCCCACTCCAAACTAATTAGTGACTGAGCAAAAGCTGTCTGGAGTAGCCAGCTTCCACAGTGCGATTGCTACATGCTTCTCCACTGTAGGGCAGCTCTCATTCATATGTCCTTGCACCACAGGTTGGGGGCGAGCTCAGCGCACAGTCCCAGGAAAGTTCTGCAGCCATTGCTCATCATCCCAGGTTTGCATGACAATGTGATTCCCATCATTTAATGCTTGTTTCCCGAGCCCAAAAGTGGCATTCCACTGTGGTCAGCACCTCCGTGAATGCCACAAGAAATCTCATGTACGAATGCTGCACGGACTCCTCCTCATCCCTTTGCAGCTTCAGGAATAACTTGATTGCCATTCGTGACATGTTAGTGAGACCTATCAGAACTTTCAGCAACAGCTGTGGATTCATTCCTGCAGATGGAAGAGACAGAGTGCGCAACACTGAAGCCATTGAAAGATGGTGCCAAATGCAGATAGAGGCATAGGGGTTGCTAGGATGTGAAGTGATGCACCACAGGACATGTGGACAGGACCCAGGATGCCCTGCACCCGTCCCCCCATCCCCCATCTTCCTACAAACCTCCATGGCAAAAGAGTAAAAAGTGCTGGAACTGCCAGCGCTTTGCATCTGCCAGTGTAGACATAGCCTAGAATCTCTGCAAAATTTCTTAACAGGGACTGAATCAATGTCTCTAAGTTCTGGATCAAAGGAATTAATATAGAGTAATGATCCATTTCTTTGTATTTTCTATTGTGTTATGTTGCTAGTTATTAATCTAAATTTACCTTCTGGAAATATGTAAAAGATATATGTTTTGTTTTTATAGTTGTTTACAAATTGCTTTAAATATCATGGCTTTAAGAGTGGAAGAAAAGGTATGCAGATGGAGTCTGACCCTGAAGAAACAAGAAAAGAGACCGAGACTACAGGTGAGGTTTTATACTTTGTTTGTCCTAACTGATACTATCTAACAAAGAGAAAATATTTTTAAAAGAACTTACACACTTTATTTAGCATTTCAGACAAACCAGATTTGATGTGCATCCCTATACAAACCAGAAAGGCAAGAAAGTGTAAAGCTTAAGAAAACTGGTTACCCACTTGACCCAATTTGTTATAATAATTATAGAGAAGAAATACATATTTTGCTTTTGTAAATACTTTGTCCTGTTGAGAGACGGTGTGAGACATGTGCAGTCGGTTCCCCTTCACAGTGGGCTATTGGCCGTTTTGACAGTTTTGAGCACGTTAGTGATGTTTTACCATTGTTTTTAAAAATGTCTTGTCTTGTGCTCCCGCTCCATATATTGGAACATACACATTAATCCACCTCTGTATGATACTATTAAGTCTATTTACAAACAAACAAGCAAAAGGAAGTGAGGACAGAAGCATTTGCAGACCATAGACCAGCTCTCTCAGCACATACAGCCATCCCTATTCTTTTCGGCACTAGTATATCTTGGATTAGTTTCAGTCCTGCCATAAATAAGTGCAGAGAAGACTATATAAAATGCATCTTTTATTCCAGTGCTGAAATAAAAGATTTCTCTCTCTTTAATTTGAGATTGTGATTAGCACTTTACTATTGAGTAGAAGAATATGAAGTGGTTACTTGAATTTCACTATAGGATCTCTTGAGAGAGCTATGCATGCAGTGGAAAAAAATGTTTATTCCATGATAAATAAATCTGTTTTTTCATTAGTCATTTATTTTGTAAAGTTTGCACCACTTTCCTGCAAGCGAAAGACTGGTTTTTTAATGCTTCCAAGAAAACTCTTCCACTGGTTCTTTTTATCCCAAGATACCATTGAGTATGCAGCTCCTCCAGTTAGCACTCATTTTGATCCTTATCCTCTGTGATTGTTAGGTGTTAATAGTGGTTGATTTTTGAGATTCAATGTAATTTCATTTTAAACTTTGCTTTTTGTTAATATAGAGATGTTGATAACAGAAGAGTTAAGTTACCCACAAGAGTCAATTCATACAGAAACTGAGAGATCTATTACCGATGATTCAATTGTGTTGGCAGCAGCCAGTGGCAGATCTGTGGATTCTAATAAAATTGATGAAGCTATAGTAAGCTCTTTTAATAAATGTAAATGAACCAATGCATGTATTTATTTGGTCACACTTCATATTTTCATTTACAAATAGTTAATGAATAATTCATAAATGTTACATTGCAGACATGAGAAGCTTTTGTTATAAAGATGTTTTACGTACACCAGTATAATATCTTACAGATGATTATAAGCCATGGTTATATATAAACTTGTTGGATGCCATACTGTTTTATTAACCATTTATTAAAATATCCATTCACTTATTAATCCTGTATAAACTACTAGAAGGTGAGGTCCGTCATTAACCAGGCAGTCATTTTTCATAGATTACTCTTATAGGAAATGCATCTGACGAAGTGGGTCTTTGCCCACGAAAGCTTATGCTCCAACACTTCGGTTAGTCTATAAGGTGCCACAGGACTCCTCGCCACTCTTATGGGAAAGTTCAAGAAATCAAATATATGTCTCAGAATTTTTTATTAATGTACTTATTTGCAAAAGGGAAGTAAAAGAACAGCCTGAAATTTCAACTTCAAACATTATTCATTTTATTGAATAATTACCATACATAGTAAATTTGAATCAGAAACTCGTATAGCTTCCATTATTCTTTCCATAACTAATTTGAATTATTTTGTGATTTGTAACAGTAAAAATTTTCTTTGCACTAAAATGACAGTTGAATAGGCGACTCAATTTTAATTTTGTTAGCAAATATTTTTATGAACTGTAATCATTCATGACTTTTTTCAGATGAAAAACAGAAATAATTATTTAAACTATTTACCCAGCATATTCTGGTATAAAAAGTAGTGCATTAAGCTAATTTAAGTGGCGGGATTGTTTATGCAAAATTTGGTATCTATAGCTAATCCCGAAGTATGCCTTTATTTTACACAAACAAATCCACAAACAAACTCTTCAAAATATATAATAGATTTATAAATTGAACCTAATTATTATTTATGTGTGCTGAAAAAAATACATGCTATGGCCATTCTTATCAAAGATAGGATTTCAGATCTCCCTGGTGTTTAATAACATCACCCTGGACATGATAAAGTCCTTTAGAGTCCTAAGCAAAGGTAGAAAGTGCCTTGGTTTTGTTATAATTCTGCTGTAATGTAAAGTTCATTTTTATACCAATGTGGTGGATCCCACAGTACATTTTTCTCCTTTTTAAACCATGCTGTAGTGCAGGGCATAAGGGTGTAGAGTGGCTGTCCTCTGGGTCCTTTGTGCACCACCGAGGTAGACTCTGAACAGTAGGTGAAGGTTGGGAAAAAACTGAGGTGGAGTCTTTGCATACACACTGACCATGAATCTGGCCGGTGAGATTTTCCAGTGGTGATTGTGGAGGCATTGCAATCACGCTTGCAGAACACAAGTCTGTACTTTGCCCATAAGGATGGGAAAATTAGTTACTGTAAAAGTTCTGAGATATTAGACTGGTAGTACATACTCCTTTCTATATGGAGAGGATAAAACCAATAAAATAATATCCCTGCAAAATTTCAAATAAAAATGAATAGATGTTTATTTTAAAATGTTGAATTTGTGATTGTCAAGTAGGTGTCAAAATTTGTACAAATATGAAACTCTGTTATTTTACTCAGGGCCCCTGTGTATTCCATCTTTCCAGCATTATGGAATTTGCCTTGAATTAACTCCTTGCTCCAGTATATAAGCTTTCATTAAAAATGTTTATGACTTTGATGTTTGTGAATAAAACCTTAAAAACTTGCACCAAGTTTAAACTTGAATCTGCAGCAGCCTGAAACAGTAGCTCAGAGTGGTGTGAAGTGTCCTATTCATCTTCTTAATAGGTCATTAATTCCAAAATGTAAAGATTGGCCTATGAACAGCAGCAAAATAGGTTCTGATATTCTTATTCACACTAATAAGCACCTTACTGTGCAAATAGCCCCATTGAAGTCAGTGTGGCCACTAGCACAGTAAATAAAATGCGGTTAAATAAGAGTTGATCCTATCTAAATTTATCTAGCTGACACTGTGATCACAAAATTCCGTGCTGCCAAGTATGATTTGAAAGGTGCCAAAAGCCCCAACTATCCCCTATACAGCTAAACACACTTGATACATATCTAATGTGATCAGGCACTGTCAAAATAAATAACACATGGGCTACATAAAAAAAATCAGTCTTAAAAAGTAAAGTTTACCAAGTAGGGTGATAACTAACTGTTAATATTGGATGAGTGAGCTATAATACTTGTCCCATTTTTAACATTTTGGCATATGATTTTATATGTTATGTCTAATGTTTGTATTAATCTGCCCTATAGGAGCTGGTTAAAAATGATCAAGACAGTGAAGAAAGAAGGTTGCGCAAAAGAACTCTTAAAATATTGAACACATTACGGGTATGATGTTGGATTCAGCCATTAGATGCTTTTTAAAGCAATTATTGACTTGAACCATAACACATAATTTACAACCATCTGCTATTTGATGATGATACATAACATATGCTACTTGTCTGTCAGAATGATACAACCACATTTTATTGTGTGTTTACATGGATATGCCCAGGCTTCAAAAAGCTTTGTATAGTGGCAAATCCTGCCGAACTTCGGGAATTTTTGGAATTTTCTAATTTTTGAGTACTTGATTTTTCATTTTTAAGTTTGTTTTAACACTAGATTATGATTTTGGTGGTGGTGGGTTTGGTAGCACTGCCTATTATTATTAAGGTTGTCAGATACTTCCCATTATAACGCCCTATTTTCAATTGCTTATAACTTTGTCAAATGTTGCCTAACTTCAATTGTTTAAGCTAAAGTTTCACATACTAGGTATCTCTATCAGGCTATTTTTTTAAAATTTCAGCCCAAATTGTTCAGCCATTTCTCAGAATGATGCTAGGGAAACATACATTGTTTTGCACATACGTATTAAAAAAAATTCTGTTGACTTTTTTTTTTTTTTTTTTAAAGAAGCTCTTGTACTCACATGCTTTGTAGTAGGAACCTGAAATTTGGCAGGGTTTTTTTGCCTTTGTCAGGGATGTGCCATTTGTCTTCCCTATGAAAATTTGCCCAAACAATCAAATTGTAAGTCTTTGAACAACTGAGGTTGGTTCATCCATGGTAGAGACTTGGTAGAACTTCACAGCTGAACACTCAGAAGATTCTGTGTGAACTGGGCATTCGCCATACCAGGACTAAAGCATGATTTCCCTGAGGTTACAGTTGTGGATGGCTGGGGCCAGGCATCAGAAGTGAGAGCAAGGAGATTGGCGCTCTGCTCTTGATGCCCTTCTGCTCTTCTCCCTCACCCCTATGCTGGCACCACTGAGGAGGTGACTCTGATTTGAATGTAGAGGGGACAGGAGTCAGATCTGAGAGTGTGCGGGTAGATGACAAGGTGGGTGAGCCTGGGAGGAAGGAGAAACTGGGCTTGGGAGCAGATGGATGAGACCTAGGCTGGGGGATGGCTGGAGAGGGGAGACACTGGGTCTGAGAGATCAGGGTAAAGAATTAATAGTTTTTCTTCAAATGGCTCTGCATATTCCTCACTTATGGGCTTTGTCCCTCCTGGTGGCACCTAGCAGTTGAACCTTCTCCAAGCACTGCCTATTAGAGCGCATGCTCACCCCCTCCTAGCCTGCCCCTTGGTGCTTTCGATGTTCTGAGAGCAAGACCATAAAAGCAGGCACTGCACCCTTTACCATCTCAGTGCCTTCCAACTGCTGCACTAGACAGAAGTGAATCCTTCCAGCCCATTCAGATCCAGGGGTTTTCCTCCTCTGATAGGGCCTTTGATAGCTTTCGTAGAAGTTCTCATTTAAATACACTGCCCACTAAGTGTGGGTCGTAAGGGATAGTTGTAGGTTCAATTCCACAATGTGGCAGAACAGAAGCAGCAGCTGGGATTTAAGAGATGTGCTTTGTGCCCAGCCGCCTTCCTAGCATTTGCATGACCACATGATGTGTCTGAAGTGTCAGGGGGAAGGCTATTCTCCTTCTGCATGTTCCTTTTGCCAGGTTTTCATGCCTCATGTGCACACAGACTGGTAGAATAGACTTCAGGTGCTTCTGCTTATGGGAGCTTTAGCTCCTAAATCCTCTGGTTTCAGATGGTCATCAAAGCTAAGCCTAAGAGATCAGATTCAGCTCCTGTGGCTTCCTCCAGCATGATTAAGCTGCATAAAGGTTCCCAGGACATTGGGATCTTCAGTGGTTCTGACTTTAGATCCTTTTGTTAAAGCTTTCAAGGCTTCGAAGACACCATTAGTGGAAAAAGGCCATCTGCCTTCTAAGGATCCTGTAGGCACTTGATTGGCTCCAACTTCTGTGCTGAGGAAGAAGGCAAGGAATAACGGTGTTAGCAATGCCAGATTCTGTACCTTAGATTTATCAGCTCCATCCAACTCTGACATGGCCTTTGTATTTCCGACTCTGAAACCCTATTTGGTTCCAGGTTCAACTTCAGTGTTGAATCCTGGGACTCACGTCTGTAGGACAGGCTCCATCCTCTGCTTTGGTTCAGGGATCATCCTCAGACCTGAAGAGGACTTTCACTGTGGTGTTTGATGTGCACAAAAAATGAGTAACGTTAGTTCGAACCAAGGGGGTTGGTTCGAACTAACGCGTCCCGGCGCGCTCTTTCACTTTCGAAACAGCTGTTGATCGGAGTAACGCGCCGGCGAGATCATGCTAATGAAGTGCGGGATATTTAAATCCCCGCTTCATTGACTATTTCGAATGCCTACATTTGCATCCCTAGTTCGAACTAGGGTGCAAGAGTAGACATACCCTTAGAGACTAAATGTAGAGAAGGACAGAAAGAATCAAGACACTTGATTTATTTCAGTTCATGTCTCCTCAACCTGGGTTCTCTCTCTCCTTTGCTGCTTCTCCTGTGGTGTGCTTCCAGATGCCATCTGTGGAAGAGACTGGAAGCCCTAGTCATTCTCCTTATGGCTGGAGAAGGTGATGTTTCATCTGCTAAGAATCTAATGCCTTAGTAATCCTTGAACATGGTTGCACGAGATCCATTGACAGCTCAGGCAGTGGTGCACTATCAGAAGAGAAGGATGAGGAACAAGAACAAATCGATAGACTTTGATGTCAGCTGTGGCGCAAATAGGCATAGTTTCTGCTGCTTCTCCTCCTGAGGAGACTTTTCAATTCTGTGACCTGGTGAATTGTATGGCATCCACACTGAACCTGACTGAAGTGGCTGAGGAGGAAACCTCATCTCTGGTATTTGACATTCTAGGGACTACCTAGAAATAGAATTTTGCCAGTTTTGGATGGTCTTTTACAGCTTGCTAAGACTGATCAGCTCCTGCCTCCTGTTGGTTTATTTTCAACTACACAGACTAGTTTAGATACCCGAAACTATATTAGATATCCTACTAATTAACTATATTAGTGAGGCATTTTCTTTTTTCCATATACCTCCTGTGCTTAATTCAGTGATTGATGTTAAGTCTACACTACCAAGTTTTGTCAACAAAACTTGGGTCAACACCCAAAAGTCAACACAACAAAAATTGCCAGAGGGCCTTGCTCCCTCTGTTGGCAGATCATGTCCACACTGAGGGCACTATCAGCGACACTGAGAGTAATGCACTGTGAATATGTATCCCAAAATGCAGTGTTGTGGGAAGGCAGAACTGATCCCTGTGCATCTTGGGATTCCCTCCGTTTTTGTTGACTATAAAGAAAGGGGAAAAGAAAAAAGTGTCTCATAGGGGTGGAAGTTTTTTGTCAACAAAATTGGGCATTTTTCCCACAAAAGTTGCATTGCAGTGTGTATGCTCTCACTGTTTTGTCACCAAAAGGCAGTTTTTGGCAACAAAACTTGGTAGTGTAGATATGCCCTAGTAGGTTTGGAACTGCCCAAACC